CCCACCCACCGCAGCCTTGCATTGGGCCTACCATCCAGCTGCCTCTCCCCACCAGGGCGCCACTCCCAAGGATGGGCCGAGTGCTGGCTGCACCATCGTCACAGCACTGCTGTCACTGGCCATGGACAGGCCGGTGCGGCAGAACCTGGCCATGACGGGCGAGGTCTCCCTCACAGGCAAGATCCTGCCAGTGGGCGGCATCAAAGAGAAAACCATTGCGGTGAGTGCTTTTCCCCTCCCTGCCCTCCACTGCCATATAGTCCTTGGACAGGTAAGGCACAGCAGACCATCCAATGGCCCATTTTACAGTGGGCATGGGATTTGGACCTAGCGCCCATCTTGAAATGTTCTAACTCCTCAGGGGCTTTGTGGGCTCCTCGAGGAATGGGGCAGCCCCTCATCCCCCCCCTCCCCCTACATGTCCAACTCCTGGCAGAGCCCCACTGCCCTGACTAATATAGATTGGGCCAGGACCATAACAGTTTTGGCTACATTTTCAAAATAACGTTTTTCTCCAGCTGTCATTGCATTTTTAGGAACCTTTTTTCCAGCAAGGGTCATTTGGATATCTATAGCATCCTTTGCAGGCCATAACAAATTATTCACTTAAAAATTAACCTGTGCCCTAACCAGTTTGGCTCAGTGGATAGAGCCTCGGCCTGCAGACTCAAGGGTCCCAGGTTCGATTCCGGTCAAGGGCATGTACCTTGGTTGCGGGCACATCCCCAGTGGGGAGTGTGCAGGAGGCAGCTGATCGATGTTTCTAACTCTCTATCCCTCTCCCATCCTCTCTGTAAAAAATCAGTAAAATATATTTAAAAAAAAATTAACCTGTTACACTTGGTCAGACTCAACCCTAATGCCTTGGCAGGGCCAGACCAGATCTCTTGGGCCTTAGCCTGACATTCCCCACCCGTTCATTCTAAAGGTAAAGCAATGGATGCTGATTCACACACAGGGCTGGGCAGTCATTTGTGGTGGACTCTGAGGGAGCCACACTCCAAGACCAGCCCTAGGCTTCTTCAGAAACCAGTGCCCTTATCTGAGCACTGGCTCTGGGCCACCATGAACTGGAGCCCCACCAAGTCCTCCCCCTCCTGGACTAACCCAGTGTCCCCTGCATCCTAGGCCAAGCGTGCTGGAGTGACATGCATCATCCTGCCAGCAGAAAACAAGAAGGACTTCTGCGATCTAGCTGATTTCATCACTGAAGGCCTGGAGGTCCATTTTGTGGAGCACTATTGTGAGATCTTTGACATCGCCTTCCCCAAGGAGCAGGCGGAGGCCCTGGCTGTGGAGCGGTGATGGTGGCCTAGGCACTGCAGGTGCTGATAGGCCCATTCTGAGCTGAAACTGCACTGGGGGGAAGGGGCTCTGGGAAGTTGAGCCAGGACTCAGCAAGTGGCCCGGAACCCAAGGCCCTCAATTACAACTTAATCATGGAATCTGACATATATGAACTATTTAATTATGATTAAAGACCATTTCTAGTACTACCTGTGTCTTCCGTGCCTACCATATGGACCAGCTGCAATGTCAGCACAGGAGCCCCAGGTTTCTGAACAAGTTTTATTACAGACAGGGAGGGGCTGGGGCTCAGTCCTTCTTGGCTGCTGCCTTCCTCATGGCTGCAAGGACATTGCTCAGCTCCTCTCTCTTCCTCTTGGCGCGAATGTGTGTCCCCACCTGCAAGCAAGGTGGGCCATCAGCCTGGGGCCCAATCCCACCCTCTGTCCCTCTGGGCACAGATGTGTTTCCACCTGCCTGGCAAGAGGCCAAATGCTTCCACCCAATCCCACCCCCACCAGCTGCCCACCTACCCTTTTCTTGATGAATTTCAGGGCCCTCTTGTCCTTAGAGACCTTGAGCAGCTCCATGGCGCGCCGCTCATAGGGGGCAAAGCCACACACCTCTCGGATCATGTCCCGAACGAACTTGGTGTGCTTGGTGAGGCGCTGGGGGTGAGGGAAGGCCATCAGGACGAGGTGCTCCAGACCCAGACCCTTAGGGTCATGTCTGGGCCTCCAGTGGGAGCATTCTGTCTGGTGCAACGGAAGCAGGAATCCTCCCCATCCCCCCCAATGTCACCAGCACAGCAAGTCATGCCTGGTCCTTCCCACAGGCTGCCGTGCAGAGTTGGGGCCACTCAATAAAGTGTGGATAAAAAAGGGGCCCTGTAACCAACACAAGTTTTGCTCAGCAAAGTCTTTAGTTATGAGCAAGTCTTTGTGGGTAGTCTGTTAACTGCTGTGGTGAAAGGTGTTCAAGCAAACCCTGCCCACTGTTCTTGGGCATCTAGGTGAACACCTCTGATGACAATGCCAGAGTAATCCATACCCCTCGAGGGTGTGACCGCCCTCAAGAGCACAGTCTTAACTATCCTGCTTTCTTCCTTAAATTCCCTCAACTTCAAATGCATTAAAGTGGCAGACTGTTAACCTCTGGGGAAATTTTAGATCTTGCTTCCAGGCAATGGTCAGTTTGGTTCATAAACTCATGAAAATTCCCTACAGGTGTGGACGTTTCTTAGGTGGTCGGAGGCCCATTAGCCCTGACCTGCCCGAAACGCCCCCACCCGACACTGAAAAGCATCAGCTGGCCGGCCCCACGCGTCGCCCACTCTAGCGGGCAAACCGCTTCTGTCAAAGCCGCCCCACCTGCTCCCGCAGACATATTAGGGACTTCACTCACTGCTCTGGCCGGCCCGGCACCCACTTTCTGCCGCTCAGCCACCGCGGGCTCCCCGCTCCTCTCGGCAGTCTGGAGCCTGTGCTCTGGCCGCGCCCTCCGCCCGGGAAGCCATTCCCACCTCCCGACCAGCAGCAACCCGAGCGCGCGCCTCCGAACTCACCCCGCGGCGGCGGCTGTGCCTCGGCTTGCTCACGTTCTTGGTCACCTTGTGGCCCTTGTTGAAGCCCACGGCCATGGGGTAGTGCAAAGCCATGGCTGCGGACAAGGGTGGGGAGGAGAGGTAAGTCCCGGCTCGGCCACTGCTGCCCAGAGCGCAGCGTCCCGGCCCCCCCGCAGTCGCTCGCTACACCCAGCCATTCCCCCAAGCCGCACCGGAGGCCCTGGGGTACGGATGGCGGCGGATCCCCCCAGCACCGAGATCAACTAACCTGCTGCTCATCAATGGCTGCCGCGGCGGAAGGGCTGGCGGAGCGCGGAACTCTGGGATATCTATTCCTCACGGGTTGCGCGGGCCAGAGAGGCAGGGATGCTGCGAGCTCCCCCTGGCGGCTGGAGGAGTTCCTGCGGTCTCGTGAGCATGCGCATTACCCCAGCCGGCGGCCCCAGCGAGGGGTCGAAGTTGGTGGGCATGCCTATGGCAATGGTGCCTCCCTATTCCGGGGGGTGGAAAGTTCGAATTTCACCTCTGCTGGGTGAAATCCCATCTCATCCGCTAGCTGGTGCCAGGGACTTCAACCTCCCAATACCTGAATTTCTCCATTTATAAAATAAGGGCAATAATAGGGCATATTCCAAACTGTTTGAACAAGATGTAATGGTACTTGACACAAAATAAAACTTCCATAAACGAAGGAATTTTATATGAGGCCAACCTTTGAGTTAGGGCTAAGGAAGGCGATGTGCCCGTTGGTGGCATTTGATGTGAATTGATTTTATTTTAGGTGATGCAGAGATGAGAGGCATAAGAACAAAAAAATTTTTTTCTGTTTTTTTTCTTTCAATCCTAATGTCAAGTGTGTAGTACTTGATGCACGTGAGTATTATCCATGCACAAACCATGTATTTTGTGTGGCAAATAATACCTCTGGTCCACCATCAGTACCCTTCCCACTGCCCGGACTTGCTGGGTGAGCCCCACCCCTCTCCCAGCCCGTTTCTCCACCTGTGAGATGGGGTTGGGAGCTCTAGTGCACACACTCCTCCCTGCCTGCTGGAAGGACCAAGACATTTGAACAACAGATGTGCAAGGGGAAAACGATTTTTATTATGAAAAGGGAAGCAGGTACAGAGCAAAACACATTCCTTCCCTTCTCCCCCTCTTTGGACCCTACCATTGGGTAGATGGTTTTGTGGCTCTCCTTTGCTCAGGGCATGGAGTGGAAAGAACAAATCAGGTGGTTCCCAGGGAGCCCCAAGGGCCGGCTCTCCACATCACCTCTCTAGCCTTAGTTTCCCCATCAGCGCAGTGGAAGCAGCAATCACATCAACAATGACTACGGAGAAGACTGAGCTAATGCCTTCCAGGCCCCTGACAAGGTACTGGCTCACAGACGCTGCTCTCACACCCAGAGATTTCATTGCTTCCGGGTGCTAATGGTTTTTCTGGTTTCCCTTCCTGTATTGATGATGCCCCCTCGAAGGCGCCTGTTTGTGTCCCACCTTCAAGCGGCTGGGGGAAGGGTCCTCTCTGAGAAGATGGAGGAGCTCAGGCCTCAGCAGGGGCAG